TGCAAATGGATCTTGATGCAAAGTAATGTAAAAATAATGAAGGCGGCTCAGGGGCGTTGGCACAGCCAGGACTCGTCTCTGCTCAATCCATGGTACAAATGTTAAATTAAAAGTGCCAAAAAAAGAAGAACAAGCCATTAAGAAGCTTGTCGTTGTCCCAGCATGCAGACACCTTTTGCTGCAATCACCCATTCTCAGCCACAAATGTAAATCAAATGTGAAAATCCTGCGTAAGATGTATTTGTGACCTGGCCGAACGGCTGAAAGCATAAAAACGTCCAAGGTGAAACACTGGGGAGTGCTCGTCCTCTTTGCGTGGGAGCTGGAGCAAGTGGTTTGGGGCTACAGCGTTGTCTACAGGCCTGAGGCCGCTGTCACATATTGCATATATTACATAATTAACAGCTGAATCATGCAGTAAAATTTGGAGTGGCCATACATGCAGTGTAATTCTCACTCCACCCAGCTATAAAGAGAGGCCACCAGCTACAGAGTTAGTGCTTGAAAATGTGTAACGACTTCACAGCTGGTTTCTATCCAGCTTTATATTTGAACATCCCTTGGCGTACACACTCCTGGAGGTGGGCGCCTTCTTTGTGTTGGTTTATACAGGGCCTGGGACAATAGCCAGTAACTGGGATTTTGAGGTATCATAGAAAATTCAGGTTGAAGGATGCTCAGGAGGTCACATCTAGTCCAACCCCTGCTCCAAGCAGGACCAGCCCCAACTGCATCATCCCAGCCAGGGCTTTGTCTACCCAGGTCTTAAAAACCTCCAAGCATGGAGATTGCACCACCTCTCTGGGGAGCCTGTTCCAGTGCTTCACCACCCTCCTAGTGAGAAAGTTTTTCCTAATATCCAACTGAAACCTCCCTTGCTGCAACTTGAGCCCATTGCTCCTTGTTTTGTCAAGGAAGGATGACACAACCCACGAGAGCTGCTACCTTGGACCGACAAACAACACTACAGTCAGCCTACCAGACCCACCGATCATGCTCTTAAATGATCTCCATTTAACCAGGTCTTCCTGGTTATGACTTGACTCATAACCATTAATTAGTACCTTACAGGTTTTCTTTCCGTTTTGTATGGCGCAAGACAGAGACTTGTTCTCAGCTCCGCAGCTTCCCTAACACCCGCATTCGTCTCACGGGACTCCAAGCAACATCCACTCTTAATCTGTCCACCACAATGGATGCAATTCTTTTATCAAGGTTAAAACCAAACAAGTCTAACAAATGCCAGTTAGACTAGATGGGATAGCCAGGCAGCACTGATAAAACATCTGCTGGGGAATTGTCTGGGTTTTTTTTTTAATGGGAATCAAGTGCAAACAGCTGCTCGCTCCCCTTTGCCTATTAACAGTTAACTGCAGGGCATGCAATTTAGAAACACGCTGCCAAGGAGGAAGAGGGCATGACCTTGAGATCCAGGAAAACCTGCTACAGAAATGAACAAATGAAAAACCCAGATTGGTGAAAGTAAAAGAGGATCAAACCAAGGCTGATTAGTACGCAGAGAGCAAGGAAGAGGGGGTGGAGAGCGGGTGGGTAGGTGATGCGTTTAAAATCAGCGAGCAGAGAAACAACAGGATAATTTCAGCCTGGATGCCTTCTGTTCCCGGCCTCGGAAACACTTAAAAGCACTTGCCCTTTCCCCAAATACTGCAGTGAGCCTGAGCCTGGCACTAATTACCGTATTTACCTGAATCCCATACGACTCTGCATGCAAGACAACCTGCTATAATTAGCTTCCATGCATGGAAAATTTAGACATTTCCCCGTGTTAAGTGGGGGAGACGCTCATCTTGGATTCGAGCACACACGGTATAAACCAAACAGTGATGGCTCTGTGCCTCGAGGGGACACCACTGACCTTTCTGTCAAAAGGCAGGAAACTTTGGTTAAAAGCTACGCTGCTTTTCAAAAAAATAAAACACAACCTGACAAAGGATTGGCCCATTCCCCTCCCAGCTCCCGACTGCAGAATCATCCTAGACTGCCGATGGGAAAGCATTATCCATTTGCCTTTTTCCCCTGCCCCCGGCACCAGCTACTAAACTTTGGGATGTTCTCGTGCAACTTCTGCCCTACAAGGAGGACATCTTACAGTCTAAGCGCGAACGTAACAGCTTCTAGCGGCACAGTTAGAAAGAAAAGGGACTAGTTGTCATCCTGGGGAAGGCATCGGCGTGGCTGAGATGCATTTTCACCTACCTTTCAGAGCTGGCTGGCAAATGGCACGAGGCCAATATCCCAAACTCTGGATATTTCTATTTGCCGTGTTGATGCTGAATTCCCTATCCAAGCCTTCTGGCCTCGCCAGCATCTTAGAGCCCACAGAGATGCAGCCCACCAAGAACATCTCTGTTCCCTTCCGAGACGTCACCTTCCACTTCTGCCACCTGCTCCGACACGCGGATGCCACCAAAGCTGCTCGCGGCGTGTCGCTGCCCTACTTACGGGTCAAGCTGGTAGATGTACTGCCCCTCCGGCGTGCGCTCCTGGTGGTAGGTGAGGTTGTAGGCCAGCATGGTGCTGATCAGGCTGGCCAGCTGCTGCTTCTCCTTGAGGCTGTACAGCTGCGTGTTCACCTGCAGAGGAGAGAAACAGCCCGAAAGGTGACCCCCTTTCCACAAGCGCCCGCCATCTTCACAGGTCTTCTTACCCCTATTGAATGGAGAGGCTGGGCGACTTGCCCGAGGGCATTCGGGAAGCCTGTAGCAGAGCGGGGATGGCCCCCCCCCATGGCACTCTGCAACGGAAAAGACCTCCACAGCCCTCGGAGAGACCAGAGACGGCCCCTTTCCACTTGGCCTCAAAGGCCTCTGCTATCCCCCCAGGTCTCAGTCCAGAGAAGGGCAACAGCTGCGGTGGGTGAAGGGCAGGGCCTTTCGTTCAGCTTCTGGCAGGTGCCAATAAACCTTCAGTGCCAGCGCGGGATTTCCTGAGGCTCAAGCACTAATGCTGGGATGTACCGGGGAGCCCCCACCCACTAGCGAAGCCTCATTTGATCTCCGGGAGCAGAGCGCTGAAGCCGAACCCAGCTCCCAGCTGCACTGATTTCAATGCAGGGGGGTTACAGGGCAGGTAGGCCAGACTGGCCCTGCCGTAACGGGATAGCGCAGCCCGGGATCCACAGCCCACGAAACGTCCCTACATGCTGCATCTAGGCAACTGATGCTTATATTTCTGCCGGGGGAGTCGCACCATCTTCCTACCGTCGCTGAAATACAGCCATTTTTGGGGCGGGGGCTGGTAACCAGCAAGCATTCAAAAGGACCTCTCGAGAGGTGCAGACAGTGAAGTGCAAGGAAGAGGAACTGTCAGGCTAACTCCTCGTGGTCCCTACACACAAAACCAGCTCATCGGTATCCCCCAGTGCACACAGGCTTCACTGAACATTACACACGTGCACTATGGGACAAACCAAGCAGCTGAGATTTTGCAGCAGAAACGCCAAATCTTGACAGAAACCCTCTCTCAAGATCCAAGGGCTTTGACTAAATGCAACTGCCTTACCACAAAGCACTGGTTAGTGAGCGGGTTTTGTTCCAAGCCCTCTCCCAAAAGGCTTTTTACATAACTGTCCCCTGAAGTCTGAGAGCAGGGGAAGGTCGCCAGGGATAAAGCATTGATGGACGGGGGCTGACAGCAAGCCTGGCATAGCCGGGTGATGGGATGGTGCCTCTCACCTGCAGCCCAGGTACACCCAACAGATGCATCCTGTATCCCACAGGGAGCAAAACAGCCATTTCCTCCCCCGAAAAAGTCCTTACAAGGGGAATGGGCTCTGGGGCCAGGGCAGAGGCCCAGGACTAAATGGCTCTCCGGTGGGCAGATCACAAAGGATCCCCGTGGTACAAAACGGCAGGAGGCTCTTTGAAGCTGACCAGCATCAGAGATGGGATCTGGATTGCTGGAAGCACTGGTCTGAAGCAGCGGTGGTTGCAATGCAGAGAAATAATGTAATAATCACAGCCTTACAACCAAGTCAGGGCCATTCGGGAGCACACAGGTGAGTTGTGGAGGGGGAAAATAAAGGGTCTTGCACTGCAAAGTGCTCAGCTCCCCCTGCTCCCAGCAATGCAAGATCAATCCCTCTTCTTACCCAAAGCCAAGCACCTCTTTAAAAAAACCTGCTGTTTCCCACGCATCAGCTCCGTCCGTGCAGATAGCGACTCCAGAGCTGATGTGAAGCCTGTTGCTGAGTCTTAAATCAAGGTCTGACCACGGTCAAACCCATGACCCTAGCTCATCTGTTCCCTCAGGGCCCTGCACTGGATCAGCCAGGGAGACCCTGCATCAGAGCGGGTGGGAAGCTTTCCTGGACGCCGTCCCTGCCGCGTCTCTCCAGAGACGGCAGAAAACAGGCTCCTCCTGCCCTTTTTTCCTTCCCCTCATCTTAAACCCAGGACAGCAGAGGCACCAGCTGAGCTACAAGTGTTAACCGGGACCAGGAACGATTCCAACCACGAGGCTAATAAATGAAAGCTTCGGGGTATCTTTTTCAGATGGTTTCCAAGGAGCCCAACAACTCCCAGCTGAACAAACCCCCCCGGGGTGCTGCTTTCCGGGGCTGTTTTAATGTCGTGTTTGCACGGAGCTGCCAGGGACAGTCCTTTGGACCTGGAGTTTCAGGCTCCCCTTCCCAAGGGTGTTTCAGACAGCGGAGCCGGCGCTTCAGACAACCCGCGCTGAGCACAGCCCGCGATCGGAAACATGGGAGGCTCCAGAAAGCATACCATGCTCCCCCTTCGCTGGGTGACGCCCGGTCGCAACCCATCCATGTCACTTAAAGACCTTCCCATCCTGAATCCACAGCTCTTCTGTAGTGCAGCCCAGGATTTTGCTCCTCTCTACCATCTGCTGCATAAACATAGGCAAGTCACATCCTGAGCGTGCCTCAGTTTACCTCCCAGGACCTGGCAGGTCATTCAGACGCCCCTGCTTGGAACGGCCTAGTAATAATACCCAAGTGAATAATGAGCCTTTCACCATCACCCCTTCCTGCTAGCAGAAGATGCACTGAGGTTTGCTTGGAAACCCCAGGGGAGATTATCCAAGGGGGCAGTACAATTAATCTGTAATAACTTTAAACATAAAAATAACCTGCAGCAGATTTTCCTCTCTTGATACAAGGAGAACAGTTAATACCCACAAGGCTCAAGCTGGAGAGGAAACAGGATTAGTCTCCTGTTAGGGACAGTACATGCTTCATGGGGTGGGGGAAGACTCCCAGCAGCCCCCTTGGGGAAAGGCACAGGGAAATCAGTGTGCCCAAGTAACTGAAACCACCCCTCTGTGTTGTACCAGAGCTGCAAAAAGACGTGACATCCCAGGGAAGACAAAGCGGCACGTGCTACAGCAAGTGAAAGGGCAGCAGCAGGTTGGGACCGACTGCAGAACAACATCTACCGGAGCTGGCGGGAGGGAAGGAGAAGCTATATACACTGGGGCCAATTCACTTCAATCATAGACAAGAAGGGTTGGAAGAGACCTCAGGAGGTCACATCTAATCCAAACCCTGCTCCAAGCAGAACCAGCCCCAACTGCATCACCCCAGCCAAGGCTTTGTCTACCTGGGCTTTAAAAACCTCCAAGGATGGAGACTGCACCACCACTCTGGGTAGCCTGGTTCCAGTGTTTTACCACCCTCCTAAGAAAGTAGGGTAATCCAGGATAGTAGGGACAGGGAGCGCATCCCATGGCTCCCCTGCCCCTTGAGGCCAATGCACAGAGCGGTGCTGCCTGACCCAAGCCACAGCCAACCTCCAGAGCCAGCACGGCCCGAGCGACAGACTCGTCTCCTGGCTCCGAGCCCTTTGGGTGAGTTTTGGCATAGCAGTGAAGCATGGCAGTGCCCTTCTCGCCAGCCACAACTGCAGATGAGCTCTGCAGCTCCCCAAAGCAATCGCCCTGAGACAGGCCCCGAACACGCACTGGAAGAAGCAAGGCCTTTCCCCCATCTGCACCTCTCGATGTGCTGCCAGGGTTTCTAACCTCCTGGCCGCAGGCCTTGTCTGACCAGCAGAGACCTCAACTCCTTAGACATGAAGGACCCAACAGGACTGTTCGGGCCTCACCGTGGAAATGCACTATACTGTACGTGTGCAATTAAGAATTATGAAGTTACATGTCAGTTTGCGCGCACACACACACGCACACACACACGCACACACGCACGCACACACGCACGCACACGCGCACGCACACGCGCACACACAGCAGCTTCCACTGGCTTCTCCTACAGCCTCCACATCCAGGACTGTGATGTCCCTTTACAGCTCCAATGTTTGGGACACCTGGATCTAAGGAGCCATCTCAGTCCATTTCTGCTCTGCTGGGGTGAATTATTCAGCATTTTGGGTCTGGGGCATGTTGCAAAGCATAGGCGAATGCTGTAAGGACATGGGGCACCCGCTCCCTTCCCAAACACCCAGCCCCAGCAGGGACCACTCACCGGCCGCAGCTTTGGGGAGATGATATCCAGGAGCAGACACAGCACCTCGAGGACCAGGGGCTGCATCCCTGCACGGCTCCGGGAGCTGGGCGTGATCCCTGATATCATGGACAGGATGAGGTTTTGCATCTGGTTCAGTTTGGTCAGGGCCTGGTTGGAGACACAGCAGAAATGCTGCGAGCTCTTGGGCTCACACTGTGTTTGATACCCTGAGGCAAGACCTCCAAGACCCCAACTCCAAACCTGTGCCCCGATCCCAGACTGGTGACGTGACTGTGACCACATCACGCCGGTTACGGGCTTCCCACCCCATATCACAGACCTCGCTCCCTGGTACTTGCCTCATGCTGGCTGTTGGGATAGGCCAGTCTGGGGATGCTGGAGGAAGCGAAGAGCAGGTGGAAGGCGACGGGGAGGAAGGGCAGGTATCTCAGGAGCTGGAAGTTTTGGCCATGCAGGATGGTGTGGTTCATGACGTCGGAGAAGCCCAGCCACTCCAGGGCCGCGCACACCGAGCCGAAACTGGAATCCTTCAACTTCATGTTCAGGTAGTTGTCGAACAGGCCCTGGCAGGAGCAGCACGGAGCAGAGTTACGCAGCGCCCTGGGCCAGAGGGCCTCTCCCTTGCAGGCTGCAAGTCTGGGCTTCACGGGAGACTCCACCACACCGCTGCACATTATGACCCAGAGCCGATGCTGTTTGCACGAGTGCAGCAGTCCCCCCCTCTGCTTTCTGGGATGGTATGGTGCATCCGAGATTTCCAACAAGCAGGAGCATCCTGGGTCAGAGGCCAGTGTCACCCCCTTTCAGTCAGACACCTTCTAACTTTCTGCATCCCCAGTTTACACCCCACTTTCCTCATGCCAACCCTGTCCTTCAGCTCCCATAGCATCTACCCCATTGCATATTTATAGACTCACCCCACTTCCCCCCCAGCCTTCCTCTGGCTGCAACTCGGTTTGCTCAGTCTTATGGCCGCCTCCTGTAAGACAGGCACTCCCTCCCCCCACGCCAGCCTGAATATTTTCAAAGGAACAAACCCAACAAATCCAAGCGAGGCAAAGTTGTCAGGGCTGCCAGCAGCACGTGTCTGCCCTGCCACTGAAAGGAAACATCCACCTCCCCCTTTCTAGCACTGGCAGCAGCCGGGGACTGAATGCATTTAAAACCACAGCCATTTCATTTACAAACAAGGGCCTCAAGGTAAAGCTCCGCTTCCACCCAAATCGTTACAGCTGCTGTTGCAGTCTCCAGAGATTAATGCCTAAATGGGTACTGGAACCAATCAGCACATCCCCAAAAAACAAGCATCTCGCCCATGTTGCTGAGGGTCTTGGCCAAGAATAATGCCAATTCTCAAAGGACGTGTTCAGAGTCACCCAAGAGCTTGCAGATGCTAGCACATGTTCCTATAGGGCCACATGTCCTGCCAGCATAGAGCAGCAAAGCAAAACCGCATGCAAAAAAACTCTTCTCTTCCTTTTTTGCCCCCCTGTGTAGAATAAGGACAACAGTTTGCTACCTCTCCCATTGGGGTGGCTTAGAAAGAAGTCAAGGCCGAGCTGAAGCTGCGCAGAACAGAGGAGCGAGGTTGCCACTTCATGACGTACCCCAACAGGCGCTACGAGATCCTGGTGGGGTCCAGTCATTGCCACCGGAGCCACTGGCCCCTGCCCCACGTTACATATATTACGCCATTAACTGTTTAATCATGCAATAAAATTTAGACCGGCCACACGTGCCACCGCATAAAAATGTCCATCCAGCTATAAAAAGAGGCCACCAGCAACAAAGTTAGTTCTTGAAAATGTGGAACAACTTTATAGGTGGTTTCTATCCAGCTTTAAATTTGAATGTGTGGCAGGGCCCTTATCGATGCATTAAAACTGCCCAACAAGCCATCCAGTGTGAGCATTAGCCAGTTTTCAGGGTGGCAGACACCGGAGGGGAGTCAGAGACCCCTGGTTTTCCCAGGGAGGCTGCCGTACCTGAGTGAGTTTCTCATGCTCCCCAGAGGTGGTGGCGAGATGCAGGATGCGCAGGAACCTTTGGGACGAGGTGTTAAGACCAGTCCTGCCCCCAGTCACATTCAGCAAGCCGTCATCGCCTCCCAGGAGGATCTGGTTCGGCACAGAAGGGTCCATTCCTATTCTGTGTCTGGGAGGGGAGAAAAGGCACGATGTCAAAGAGCACGACTGAGCAACAGCCACCCACCCAAAGGGTGGAGCGATCCAGTGGTAACACATTCGGGCCATACAGAATAGACGGGCGAGTTTTGACACCGCTACAGCCAATGCTGCAGGCGAAACAAGACAACAGACAAGCACCCCTAGAGCCGCTGAAACAAAGTCCTTTGCGCTGCAATGCATGAAGCACGATCCTAGCAGCACAGCAGCAGTTTCTGATTTCCCCATGGCAAGCAAAATGCAAGCAGCTGTTCCTTTCCACAGCCTCAGTGGTCCCCTGAACTACATGCATGGGACCCGGGAGAGTCTGTTTGCAAAGCGGTTCTGCTCTGCATAGGCTGGTGACCTAACCAACATTCGCTCACACCTCTGAATCCTAGGGAGCTGGAAGATCTCTTGCCAAATGGAGAAGAGCCCCTTGTTCTGGTCCTTCAAGCCAATTTTCATCGTCTGCACCATCCTCGCGCTCAGCTCCTTCTTGCCCCGGCCGTGCAAGAACTGGGAACGCAACACAGAAGTTAGATTTCACGCACTGAAGAACACAGTGGGGGTGGGAAAAGATAACAGGAGGTGGGGAAGGGAGGAGAGGCTTTGCATAGTGCTTGACCATTCATTCAAGGCCGTGCTAGGAAAAATGGAGGCTGACTTCATAGAGATGCCTGAGGACATCCAGCTGGACAGATGCTTTGGGGACCAGCCATAACACCTGCCCTCCAAGTCACCTGCCTGAATCCAGGTGAAGTCTGGAGTGAAAAAGAGGGTCTATCCCAGCCAGCAATGGTCCATTAACAACTGGTCCCTTTAAGGGCAGCTTCGGCAAAGCAAGTCAGGGCAGGGCGGGATTCAGGGAGGGAGAAGACCCGTGCGAGCTCCGCTGTACCTGCAGGGTGTTTATACAGGACCGGATGTCGTTCTCCGTCTTCTCGCACAGCGCCGTAAGCGCTCCCATGTCTGCCTTCATGCCCTGCCGGAGGGCAATCTGCAGAAGAGGGAAGCGGGGGCGTCAGCTCCCATCTCCCAGACACGACCCAAGGGTGGAAGGGCCAATACGCACCTCGCAGAGCCGCTGCACCAGTCTGGAGGGCGCAGTCTGGGGGAAGTTTAAGAGGAAAGCCTGCTGCCTCAGCTGCCTCAGAGAGGGGACGTACCTGGCAGAGAGACAGAGACGAGCCTTGAAGGATTACTCGAGCAACGAGTGAAACAAAAAAAAAAAAAAAAAAAAAAAAAAAAAAAAAAAAAAAAAAAAAAAAGAAAAAGAAAACAGTTCTGACATGAAAACATAGCAACAATGGACGTTTTGCCAATGGGGCAAAGGTCTTCCTGAACCAGGCTGGCACGGTGAAGGCCGCCAATGTCTGCCAGCAGCATGGGAGGGAGTGATGAAGCCAGGCACCTGGGTTGATAGGCGTGGTTTCTGGCACGAATGCAGAGCAAGGTTTGGACCCGTCCCCTTGGGGATACAGTGAGATATCATCCCCCCTGCCACCCTACCGAGATGGACTGAGGTGTGCACCGCAGCACACGTGTCGAGGGGCTTGCTTGCACGTACAGGGGCACATGGCTGACTTGGTAACTAAGGAAGAGTAAATAAAGGGAGTTTTCACAAAGAGCCTTCTCTAGGGAGTTGTGCCGGTGGCTATGCATAAAGCAATACTTTTTATGGGCCTGAGCAGAGAGCCAGAGCCTTCCAGGATCTCTTTTAGTCAGCATTAGAGACTAATGGAGCAGGTGGAGGAAGAAAAGAGCTGTAGGACTGAAGAGAGGGAGGGGGCACTGCTTTGACAGAGCAAGCCCCGCACCGCCTTCGTGCTCACACCACGGCAGCCCCAAAACCGAGGTGCCAAGAAGAAGAAATACAAGCAAAACCAAACCTCCTGGCTCCCACCCTCTGCCCATGGGTGCAAACCAGGGGGAGATACTAACTGGTTGTTGCAAATGCAGATGATGGGCCGTAAGAGGAGGCCGCCCTCTCGCCGCCTCCTCTTGCCACCTGCCCCGCTGGTGCTGGCTGTGGGCTCTGGCTCCGCGTCCTTACGGTTGACGATGCTCAGCAGCACGTTAATTGAGGCCTTGAAAAAAAAGTAAACGGTTGCTAGTCACAAACACGGCAATAGGTTAGTAAATTATTTCCCGCTCAGGCAATGTTGTGAAGAGCCCCAGACACTTCCAACGCCTCCTCTGGACACCCCCGCTGCCCAGACCCCTGGTAGGTGAGCCGGGCTTACAATGGGCGCGCCATCTATTTCATCAATGACCAGGCAATTGGGCTTCTCGTTGGCCCCCAACACGGACTTCATCTGTGTGGCAGCTTCAGTACGGGTTTTGAAGACGTCCGGGCTGCGGTCATCGCTGAAACGCAAAGGGGCTCGGAGTGGCCGACAGCCCAGGCCAGCAGGGTCCAGGTTTGGGCCCCCACCCCGGGGACGGAGCCAAATACTCACCTGGCGTTCATCTCCACCACGTTGTAGCCAGCATGCTTGGCGATAACGTGGGCCAGCGTGGTTTTCCCCAAGCCCGGTGGGCCACACAACAACGCTACCTGCAGCAAACAGGGGGGCAAGAGAGCGATGCTCAGCAAGCGTGCAGCCGTCGGCTCGCCCTCCAGACAGGTCTCCCTTGGACAGGGGAACAGCTCCAGTGCCTCATACTACTTCTCTAACAGCTGCCTCATCTTCCCTGGGCTCCTGGCACTTCTTGACACTAGGTCCCTCCGGTGCTTTCTGTAGCAGCAAGCCTGGCCCCCAGCTCAAATCCCAGCTGGGGTCACAATAGTTTCTTCTGACATTTCAGCCGGGCACAGGATCCTTTACTTCCTGTCCCACATGGCTGGGCAACAGTCTTAAACAATGGGTGGCAGCTACATTTACAAGCAACAGAGTGTTATATTGGAAAGGGCTTCACTGCACTTCAAGGCAGGTTCCATTTATTATACGTAAAAACAAGAGGGGTATCAGTTTAAGTCAGCAGAGCACATGGGTGAACGAACCCGGGGACGTACGCTTATTTGAAGCGGCCTTTGGCACAGCCCAAGCTTGCAGAAGTCGCAGTCGTTAATGTGCTGCTCTGCCGTGCAGCGCCTAGACTCGCTTCCCATTTCCAAGCCATTACGTGGAGAGAACGGAGCCTGTACAATAAGACAGGCGTGCAATTTTGTCGTCCTCCACCCACTGCTCCACGCTGGCTGGACAGCCGACGCGAGTGTGACCTGACATCGCCCAATAGTGGACAAGGGTGTCAGGAGTAAGCGAGCACTTTAACCTCTCCATACCTGGAATAAGATCCTTCCCTCCTACCCCCCTGCCATTACCCCACGGTTTAAGTTCACAAGATAAAAATGCAAATAAAGAAGAGGCAAGTAAAACCCAAGAAGCCTCCTCGAGCACTAAAAAACACAATTCAAATGTCTGGGGAAGCTTGGCTGGGGGGAGACTCAGGCCAAGACACGTCACCTTATACTTGGGGCGCTTGTGAGGGTCCAGCTCAGCCTCCAAAATCTCCTCCGTGACCTGGGTCTTGCTCTTCCACTTGTTCTGCTGTTCTTTCAGCTGCTTGAGCGGGGGCCGGCCCTTCTCGCTCGGCTTCGCCTTCTTCCCCGGCTTCTCCCTCCCGAAAACCACCGTGTCCCACAGTTTGAGCCACTTCAGAAGGCACCGATTCGTGTACTGGATGTGGGAGGGGAAGAGGAACGGGACATTGAGCGGCAGTAGCTCCAAGTTTCATAGTTTCTAGGGTTGGAAGGGACCTGAGTAGATCATCTAGTCTGACCCCCGGACTAGTGAGCAGAACAACTGAGGAAGAAGCAGAGAGGTCTGCAAGGGAGACTCCAGCTCAGCAGAGCTAGAAGCATCCATCTCTGCGGCTTAACGCACACCTGTTTAGGGTCCTCAAATCTAGGCTGGAGTGGACGTATGTGCAACATGAATATTTGAACAGATAAGACAGTGGTTTGCAGAGGTTTGTAGAGCATGCACACACACACACACACACCTTTATCTTTCTAGCCCGTATCATCTATGGGAGGCTTGTTGCAGTTTCTAAGGAGCAGTCGTAGGTCAGGTAAGAACATGGCACCAGGACTCCCAGAGGATTAGAGAACGGTTATTAATGACAAAGATCCCGGTCTCATCGCTCTAAGCAGCTTACGTCATCGCTGAGCAGCTCCGTGTAATGCCGGGGAGTGAATCTATCGACCCAAAGGCAGTGCTGGGTGGATTCCTCCTCCTCATTGGCCAGGTCTGCTTCCTCGCTGGGCTCCGAGTTCTCATTTTCAGGCATGCCAGCGCTGTCATCGAGACGACTGCAATAATCAAAAGCAAAGATAAAAGTCCAAGCTAGCCCAGCCCAGGGAGCAGAAGACAAACCAGGCTCTCCACTGTCACCTATAACTAAAAGTCCCATCCTGGGTAGATCACACAGAAAAGGAAGATTAAAAGCCGCACTAACGTGACAGGAGAGGGACTCAACGAGGATACATTTGGGGGCAGTGAGTTGCCCCTCTCCCCCCCTGTGCAACGACTGCTCCAGGTCACAGCCTGGCAGAACCACCCCTCCTGTTCTGAGAAGATCCAGATGTTTACTCGACACGAAACAGCTGCAGCATCTGGAGAGCTGTGATGCACTGTGTGCATCTTTGCATGCCTGTTGTGTTAGGGTCACCCAGAGAGACCTCAGCTAAGATGTTCCCACCCTCCAAGACCCTCCTTCCCCCCGCAGTGCCAGGAATCCCACCCTCGACTGCAAGCACAAGAGGAGAAACACCAGAGCCACCCACCTGGCTAGCAGCTTCGTTAGGTGCTGTGAAGCCTCCAACACCCGCTGGTGATGCTGAAACACAAATGGGGTGACATCATAGCAAGTGACTTTGGGATTTGACAGCTGATGCTGCTCGCCTCTGAGGGGCCGAGGGAGAAGGAGCAAGGATCACACTGCGGAGACTTCCTTTTCCTCAATTAAAAAAATAATAAGACTCCGTCTACTGAAACATTTCATCTCACAGACCGTACCAGTCCTGGCTGATCCCATCCAGGGCCCAGTTTTCAAAGGGTCTTTATCTAGGTTCAGAGTCCAGTATCTCCAGGGCAAATATATCTGAGGGGTCTGCATGGGACTCTGCGTGTGTACACAGCACCACGCCGCAGGCCCCTTCCAGACCCATTCCCAATCTGGTTGGTTTCTGCCCGCTGTGGAAGCAACCTGGTTGTGAGCAGACAGACGGGAGGTGCTGGACTCTCCATCCTTGGGGGTTTTTAAGACAAAGCCTTGTCTGGGATGATGTAGTTGGGGCTGGTCCTGCTTGGAGCAGGGGGTTGAATTCATTGTGACCTCCTAAGGTCCCTTCCAGCCTGAATTTTCTACGATTCCATGACTTGCAAGTAGAGATGGGAATGGGATTTGGGTACAATACCTCTTCATACACTTGCTCCTTTAGGTAGGAAAAAGGTACTCCCAGTAAGTGAAGCGGTCTGTGCGTATTCCAGCCAAGAGAGCCTGGGAGCTGCAAAAGATGAGAAGAGACCAGGCGCACCCTTTTCAGCAGAGAGATGCAAAGCATAAACACATACACAACTCTCGAAGACCTCCACAGTGCACATCTGGAGTACGGCGTTCAGTTGTGGGCCATGCACTACAGAAAGGATGTGGACACGCTGGAGAGAGTCCAGCAGAAGGCAATGAAAATGGTTTGGGCATTTTGACGTACAAAGAGAGGCGGAGAGAACCGGGCTTATTTAGTCTAGAAAAGAGAAGACTAAAAGGGGACTGAATAGCAGCCTGCAGCGGGGTTCAAAAGAGGACGGAGCTGGACTGGTCTCAGTGGGGGGCAGATGACACAAAAAGGAGCAATGGGCTCAGGCTGCAGCAAGGGATATTTAGGTTGGATATTAGGGAAAACTTTTTCACTAGTGGGGTGGTGAAGCGTTAGGACAGGTCACCCAGCGAGGTGGCGGCGTCTCCATCCTTGGAGGTTTTTAGACAAAGCCCTGGCTGGGATGATGTAGCTGGGGCTGGCGCTGCTTGGAGCAGGGGGTTGGACTAGATGTGACCTCCTGAGCTCCTTCCCAGCCTGAATTTCTATGACTCTCGGTTAGAGACTGTAGGAGTTACCCAGCTCCCATCACTGAATCAGAGCTCACAGGACAAGGCAAACCCTGGGTTCATCTACACTGCAGGGCCTGGCTGTGTTGGCAGAGCTCACGAGCAGAGGGGCTGCACATGACAAGACAAGGGGATTTTCTGCTACACCTCCCACAGCAATGCAAGCGAAACCGAGAAGCCTCATCTCGCACCCCAGGAGTTTCGCTGGTCACGACTTCACACGACCCAACTATGATGGGAAAACCGTGCAATTCAGCACAGCTCCTAACCGCACGCAGTCAGCGGTGATCTGGTCTCACCTCTACTCCGGTCCGGGTGCAATCTTCCCTCAGCACCATGAAGACTCTGGTGCCGTCCGCTGACGTCACGTTGACGTAGTCCTCCAGGATGGGGGGGCGCTTGAGGACCCGACTGAGGTTGCGCTCGAGGGGTGGCGGCGTCAATCGCAGCGGAGCCACGTCGCTCAGCTCCAGGCTATCCGGACTCAGGAAGTTTGGGCTCCTGCAGCAGGTGCCGGAGAGAGCCCATGAGACCAACTGTCTGCCAAAACTGACTTCACGCGACCAGCTGAAATGCCAGAAGCCGCAGTCAGGTGGCCCGGGCCTTCCTAAGGCATCTGAAGTTTCAACACCCATAAATTGAAGCGTGTTAATCTGCTCCCAGGTCACGCAGGACTAAAGCTGTAATTTAATCTGGAGAGGATTAAGCTAAGGTGCACGAAACGGCCTCGCCCCTTAATGAGAGGCTGCGCACGGGGCTTCGACATGCTTCGACTCTTGGCCCATCCTCGAGAGTCCCCGCCTCGACTCCTGCGCTCGCATACTGCACGTATCCCCTCGCAGGTCCTAGTCCTGCAGCTCCCCTTCCCATATCGCAACGCTCGGCCTGCAGCGCTTCCCATCAGAGCCCGTTACCGTAAGGGTCTCCGAATAAGGCACTTGATACCACTGCAACGAGCGGGCCATGCAAGCTCAGCTAGGAGACACCTCCTGCCCTGAGCCGAAGCGGCCTGTCCCGCTGGCTTGGCGAATGCAGGCCATTTACCAAACTCAGTTTAGCTCCCACATTTAAAATGACTGCCTGAGTAGCAATAAAACGGAGAGGAACCTGGCACTCGGTAGCTTGGAGCAGGCCCCAGGGAAAGGAGGTGGGGCGATGTCATCCTGGGGGAAATCAGAAGCCAGTTCACCCTCCACGCTGAAGTTCAGCTTCTTCACAGCTTCGAGCCGCCGGCGTTTCGGCTTGGGCGCTGCAAGAAACAAAGGAGGGGGAAGGAAACATCGATCCAAGCACGGTACAGGCAGGAGGTCACACCTTCCCGCAGCTCCTCCCTTAGGGAGCTCAACGGGTTTTATTAGGGAACAAAGCTTCAAAACCAACCCAGGAGGAAGGAAGCACCTTCTTCCTCTTTTAACAGCTCCAGAATGGATGCACAATAGACATCCACCCGCCAAGTTAGCCAAGCTAACCCCACAACGAAGGTTAAAGGGAGAGTCCAAATGAAGGCAGACGCTTGCTGGCGTATATATAGAGCTAACGAATAACAGCGGTTGACGAACGTACTGAGCTCAGACGCGGGCTCCTGCGGGAGCAAGCTCTCCGAACGCTCCTCCACCTCCTCCTCCGAAGCACGGCGGCTACAATCCAGATCCCGCTTCCGAGCCTTCGCATCTCCCGTTCCCACCCCATTTCGAGGGTCCTTGTCCTCGTGCGTCTCGCAGACCGGAGCAGCGGAGTCCTTAACTGCGTCCCCGGGTGAGATGGCTTCGTCAAATGTCTGCTTTCTATTCCGGAACTGGGAGATTTTGGGGGCTGGCATCCAAGACGTGACATCTGGAAAAGATTTTTGTTAAAAAAAAAAAGGCACGATGGGATTATGCGGCCGTTGTGCCTAGAGGAACGGCCCTGAAATGGCACGATGTTAGGGCAGGGGTGGCTGCGCCAGACCCCATAGCATTAAACCTGGTGCTAACAGGGGTTTAGTTCAGCTCAACTTGAACCGATTCTGCCCTTTCTTCACGTCTGACTCGGTGCCACCCATGCGTTTGGTGTAAACCGATGCGTCTGCAAGCAGAATCCACCACAACCACTTGCTCCAAGCACACGCACCCTGAGTTCTGGTGGGAAACACGTGCGGGGGAAAAATTAATACGCAATGCAATTTTTTTAGCGTGTTGACCAGCTCAGAGAAGATTGTGACTACGGTTGGAAGCCGCCAGGAGAGGTAAAGAACAGGCAACACCCAGCGCCACTGCCGATACGTTACTGAGCCTCGGTATCTTCATCAGCACCTCCTTGCAATTGATGCGACTGGGACTGATCTCTCGACCCACCCGTTCCCTTTCTAATATACTGACAGAGACCTGGAAGTCCCCTTTTCTTACACACGCACACACACGTGCATGCACATACACTTCAGAATCACAGAAAATTCAGGTGGACGGGAGCTCAGGAGGTCACATCTAGTCCAACCCCCTGCTCCAAGCAGGACCAGCCCCAACTGCATCATCCCAGGCAAGGCTTTGTCTACCCAGGTCTTCAACACCTCCAAGGATGGAGACTCCACCACCGCTCTGGGCAGCCTGTTCCAGTGCTTCACCACCCTCCTTGTGAGAAAGTTTTTCCTGATATCTGCCCTAAAACTCCCTTGCTGCAGCATGAGCCCATTGCTCGCCTGCCCCCACTGAGACCAGTCCAGCTCCATTCTCTGTGCAGCCCCCCTGCAGGGAGGTGACGGCTGCTCTTCAGTCCCCCTCGGTCTTGTTTTCTGCAGACTCAATCAGCCCATTTCCCTCAGCCGCTCCTCACCAGTCCTGTCCCCCAGCCCCCGGCCATTTTCATTGCCCTCCACTGGATGCACGCATGGATGGACACGTACAAGGACATACACACATGTATGCGCACACATATGAACATGCATGTACATGCCTGCACATACACACATGCACATGCATGTACTCACAGGCGCGCGCATGCACATACACGCTTGCATACATGCGCGCACGCACACACATACGTATCGGTACACAGACATGAGCACACACACACACACACACACACACACGCACTCAGGCGCCGCAGTGGGCACTGCCGCTTCCATGCAGCACGCCTGTCACCACGGTGCTGCCGCGCGGACAGGC